CCTAAAACCTAAACTCCAAACCCTAAACCCTAAACCCTAAACCCTAAACCCTAAATCTATAACCCTAAAACCTAAACTCCAAACCCTAAACCCTAAACCCTAAACCCTAAACCCTAAACCCTATTCTGCTTATGAAGGCCCCGATCGTAGGCCTCTCGGCTCTCTTTCGGTTCTTGGAGTTCCCAAGTCGGCGGCTTCGGAGAGTGGTTTTCTGGGGGAGCTGAAGAATCAGAAGTTTAGGGTTTAGGGTTTAGGGTTTAGGGTTTAGGGTTTAGGGTTTAGGGTTTAGGATCAGAAGAGGGTTCTGGGGTAGATATTTAGAGTTTTAGGGTTTAGGGGTTTAGGGTTTAGGGTTTCTTCGACTGTATAAGGCTGAGAAGGAGCTGATGGTTCAAACGTTCCTTAACAGACCCGAAAGTCAGTGGAGCTCCAAAGAATGCAGAACATCCTCCAGCCTTGACCTTAGAACCGATACGCAAGACCCTGAGCCCTGAACAAGGCTGAGGGTTCAGGGTGTAAGGATTGCAGTAGAAGCCCACAAGTTGGAAACCCAATAGCCTCAATCCTGAAGAGGAATGTATGGGGAATCCCTCGAGCTTCCCTTCAGCATGCCTAGCCAAGAGCAGGTTGCGCACAGTCGCCGACGCTGCCGCTGCCCGCAGGACGTGCCAAGAGATTCGGGAAGAACTGCGAGAGAGGGTTCACAGTTTGGGGGTGTCGGGGTCCAAATTCGGGGTTTGCGGGTTTAGGGGTTAGGGCTTTCAGGGAGCGTGCCAAAGGACAAAGGGAAGCCGAGCCTTAAGGTTTACACGCTTCCATCCGTGCCTACCCCAAATTAAGGTTTAGGGTTTAGGGCCCCGACTGTAAGAATGCACAATTGAGAGTTCCTCTTTGAAGCTGGAGGTAAGTTCCTAAGAGGCTTGATGACAGGGATGTTGCTCTGTAGGAGTCCATCGTTGGACGGAGTCTGACTTCTTCGAGCTTGCGAAATAGCTGAGAGCTCTCTTCCTTAAGTAGAAGAGGGATTTTCCAAAAGTCAAGCTCTTTCTAAAAACCCGGGTGTCGGGGCCACGCTCTGTCGAGGTTTACTTAGAGAAATCTATTATAAAAGGCTCCGGAGGTCTGGTTCGAAGTATGGACGAACTGTCGGCTGTGCTGGAGTGACTGAAGGTGCTGTTCATGAGTTAATATAGGACCCTTAAGAATTACAATAGGGTTTTGGGGCTCCTTTATAGTATAATTATAACAAGGAACCCCCAAAGTAGTCCTTTACCATCAGTCTTCGAAGAAGATGATGATGCCGCAGGACTGATCCTTGAGAACTCTCCCTCTTCGATCTCGGCTGTGGTGCGGCACCTGCTGCCCCCACTGAGGCACCCGGAACTCTAAAAGCCTGAACCCCTTCAACCCCCCCCCCCGCAACAATGAAAAAACACAGCCGCACACACACACGCGCAAACAAAAGACGAAGCATCCGAACATCCGAGACCGTAACACCCTAAGCCCCCAAAGCTTCAGCCGTAGAGCCCCTTCTCAAAAAAGCATCCCCAAGCCCTTACACAAATAGTTCGCGTATCGCGAGTATCGGTCTAACCTCAACAAGGGCCCTTTGTCTGAGACACCGAAGAGATCTGGTTTTGGGTGGGCTTAACCTTAATTTAGACCCTATAACCCTATAAGCCCTATAAACCCTATAAGCCCTAAACCCTAACCCCTGCGGCTTGGGAGTTGAGGGCTTGAGTGCTGAGAAAGAGGATCATCGGAGCGGCTGGTGGGCAAAATCTTTGGTTTTTGGTAGAGCCGTGTCTCGCAATTCGGGATTCGTCGTCGTCGTCGAGTAGCAGTAGCCTTAGCCGTAGCCGTAGCAGTAGAATATCAGCAGTCGTAGTAGTAGTAGTAGTAGTAGTAGTAGTAGTAGCAGTAGCAGTAGTAGTTCTGGCCCTCGTACCGTGCTCATGCTCGTCGTCGTAGTAGCAGTGAGTGGTAGCAGTACTAGTCGAGGGGAAGGAGTAGTCATATCGGTTGTAGTGGTACTAGTGGTGCTAGTACGGTTTTTATGTCCTTTTCTCCGATCCTAAACCCTAAACTCTAAACCCTGAACCCTAAATCCTAAACCCCTGAACCCTAAATCCTAGACCTTTAAAAGCCCTAAACCGGTAAGGTGGCTGCCTCCGAACCTCCTGTCTTGGCCCCTACTGTTGGATGAATGGCGGAGCAGGGACTGGCTCGACTGGCTCCCTGGTTGCCTCTTAGGGTTTAGGGGTTTCGGGTTTAGGGGTTTAGGGTTTAGGGGTTTACGAGTTTAGGGTTTAGGGATCTAGAGTTTAGGGTTTAGGGGTCCAGGTTTTGGGGTTTAGGGTTTGGGGTGTATGAAGGCCTGAAGAT